CAAATTTAATAAAAAATTAGTTTATCAGTATTCTAAGACCATAAAATTGGGAAAGAATTCGAATTAGAGACAAATGGACATAAAATTTATTCTTAAGCAAAAGAAAAGTTAAATAAAAATTTATTTCATAAGTTTATATTATTATATAAAAATAATTACAAAATAATCAACAATAAATTGAAATTAAATCACTTAAGATTTAAACATTCTTTGTTCTTTTTTTTTAAATAGCTTTTCTTTAATATAATCTTTGTTCTTTTTTTTTAAATAGCTTTTCTTTAATAAAAGTATTTTTTCTTTTATAGATGCATTTCTTTTTTCCAAGTCGACTAACTCTTTTTTAGAAATGAAATAATCTCTTTCAGCTTGTAACTTTAAATCTTCTTCCTTAAGTTTTAACTTCTCCTCTGAAATGTAACTCTCCATATCTACAGTTGACAGGTGTAGACCCGGAGTTCTTTTTTTCTTTGTTTCTGACAAAGATTTTTTGTGATTACTAGAATGTTTGATTTGTCCTAAGTTATTTTCGTTGTCACTTTTTTCATCTGCAGTTACAGTGTTTGGAGTTGCACTATTTGTAGCATCAAACACAACTGGCATGGCAGAAATCTCTATATCGGATACGACCTTAATGTCATTGGTTTCCACACCTTCCAACCCTAAAAATATTGGAGAATTTTCTCTGTATATAGCTAATATTTTCTTGCTCATTCCTGATAAGATAATCGTTGGGCCTCCTCCAGTTTCCAAAAGTAACTTTTTTGGAAACCTCCAGTTTCCAAAAGTAACCTCTATTTTTCAAAAGTTACTGGCGTAATAGATTCCACGCATATTTGCATACAGAAACCACAAGAGCACGAATATGCTTAAGTTGATAGGTCATCAAATCATTTAATCAATGTCCAAGCGGTGTGTAACAACAAAGGAAAGTTCATTGATGTTGTTGCAAAATAGCCTGAGAGCACACATGATGCAAGGATTTCAAGAGAGTCAAGACATGGTAAGAAATTTATAGATGGAACTTTTAAAGGCTTACTTATTGGTGATTCCGGCTATCCGTGGTTTCGTTAGTTGCTGACGCCCTATTTAAATCCAACTACAGCATCTCAGCATAGATATAATATTTCTTTAAGAAAAACAAAAGTTATAATTGAACAAGTGTTTGGAAGGTGGAAAAGACGCTTTCATTTGCTTCATGGTAAAATTCGAATGACCCCTGAAAGAACCTGTACCTTAGTTGCTGCGTGCGCAGTATTGCACAATCTAGCAATACAGTTAAATGACGGAGACATGGATAAAAACCCAATCGAAAATGATGAAAATGATAATGAAGATATAGTCGCTGAATACAATTTCCAATTTCGTGATGATTTTGTTTTGCAACATTTTTTAACATATTTTATCTAAATAAATTTACTCATTTTCAAATTCCTTTTTTATAATAATAAATGGTTTATTAATTTTGTATTTGTTGTTAATTTGTGATAAAGCGATAGAGTTGTATAGAGTAACTCCATTTCATAGTTTTATGTAGCTCCAATTCAATTTTTTTGATGGTGTTTATATATTTTTTAAATCTAAAAACATAAAAAGTTTAATTTAAAAATATAAAAAATTAGTACTTAGTACAAATCTAAAACGGTTATTAGTCCTTAGTACAAGTCCTAAAACGGCTTATTACTTTAACTTGTTTAAAAAATTACGCAGCAAACATTAAAAAAAATCACGCTCTGATGTACCATCACAGTGATGTACCTATATTATTTTTAAAAGTCGTATTATTAACAACATTCAGAAAAATAATATTATAAAATATTTTTTTACAAACATTGGTAAAACATTGTTTTAATATGAATTTTTTTGTTTTAAAGTGCAGTCTAAATATCAAATGTTAACGAGAATTGTTTTGTGTCAGTACCAGAAATTTAATGCACACCAGTAAACTCCATAATTCATAAAACTATTATAAATCCACTAGCAAGTATATATTTTTATTATTATAAATTTGCACCTCTTTTTTAATTTTTGTTAGCTTTTTTAGTGAATGTTGGGTACCGTCATAAATTGAGTTCAAAATTTTGTCAAAAATTCCCTATAAAATTTATGGAGTAGTTTCAATATTGGCTGAGCTACTGGTTATTGAATCGTGTTTGTTTAATAATATTTGGTGTCCACAACTATAATTTTTTCTTCCGTTATCTCTATCACATGCCTCCATAAGTCGTGCTTATTTGACTTTACAGCTTTCGCAAAAAAATTTGTTGTTTGTTTAATTATGCACCAAATAAACATAACAAACTGTGTAAACATAAATAATTGTCTTATGCAAAATTGAAACTGAAAAAATAAACTTATAAACCAGTTACCAATAGCAACATTTGCAATTAGCTTTTTTCCTCTTTTGATTTTTTTTTCCTCTCCCTGCATAATTTAACTTTACAGCTGAGCCATTTTACAAAATTATTCTTAGTAAATAACATATTCCTTTGTCTTTAACTTT